GTATATATCATTGTAAATCCATGTGTGTTCAAATTATATATCAGTCATTTTAAATGAAGAATGATGACAAGGCATGTAGACTGTAGAACACTGTATTTATTTTCGAAAAAAATATTTTCATATAATAAAAGATGCAGGAAGAAAGAAGAACAGCATAAAGATCCAGAGTGTTTTAGAAATGTACTAAAAAATTACATAATAATGATAATGGCTCATTATATTTTACAATTATGTATTAAATTTTGCATACTGAACATCAGAGGTCAAGGTGCGGGGCCTATTCTGTCACATATGTAAGACCGTGACACGGGATAGTGCCGTAATAGGATTAATTCAAAATTCAAGATAGATAAAAGTGGGCATACGTTATACACACAATTTTACATAGCAAACACTAGAAGGTTTAAAAAATAGTCTAGAAAAATTTCACAAAGAACTGTAAAAATATTGTTTTTCGTTTTATCTTGATTTCACAATTTGTATTCCTTCTTTTAAAATATAAAATGTAAATACCATTTGCCAATTGTCATGATGTCTCTAAGTCATATTTAATTAGTAGGCCTATTTTCATGGAGTTGTTATTGCAATTCATATTCTTGACAGCAGTTTGACCTCTGAAAGGTCATTGTTTGTCAAAAATCAAGGGCCTAAGACGACTGAAAAGCGGAGTTTCCTTCTTTCGTTCTGCTGGGTAAAATCAATTACTTTAGGCGACGTTTGTAGACTAACCAACACGTACCAACGTCCGCATGTCGCGCTAGCCTTATCCTACTCTAGGCCTAGACTAGCTAGGATGGTATAGGCCTAGCCTTGAAGGGATGAAGGTCCCAATGAAAAACAACATCGCACCTTGATAGAACATTGTCTATTTAATATCACAATAATTCATTATTAGACCTATAGTTGTTTTTTTAATTGTACTCTACAAATCTCAGCCGATACCTCGCACAACTCGAGTAACGTCTCGTGTCCTGGCTCGCTGGCTCACACTTGCGATGTCTCGCACTTGTGATCAAATAATACACTGGCTCGCACTTTGGCAACACTTTTTGGCAGTCAACTCGCCCCTAGAAAACCCACCCTTGGAAACTTGCCCCATAAAAAAAATGTACACTTCCTAGATCATGCAGTATTCTAAATAAAAATTGTAACCTTTGGTAATCCACTACATTGTCCACATACATAGAAATTTTTGAAACTTTATTAAAACAAAACCTAAACCATAATTCCCAACTACTGTATAGACACTTTTTGACAAAAATGAAAAATTACGACTTTGTTACCCAATGAGAAGTGTTCTAATAAAGACAATGGGTCATGTCTTATATTATTTGTTATGTTTTTATTATTTATTATTTTCACTTGACTCGCATAAATAATTTTGTTCGAAGGACATTTATATGCAGTTGTACTTCGCAGCACTTCACTTGCCATTTGCAATTTCAATGCATAACATTTCGTTGTTTTTATTGTAAATGGACATCTACTCAGTCAGTTATTACAGTATATAAAGTTTTAAAACTACTTTTTAAAATATAAATCAGTAACTAATGTTATACTATATCCATGGTATGAGCACAATTGCACATCCTATTGTGTTCATCATTAGCACACAAGAAATAAGTGTAAAATAAGACTAATTTTCTGTAATGCCTCATGTTTTGCAATCTCAACAGAATATAGCATTTTGCGGCACCGTATACCGTTGAATAGTGCCACTAGGTTGCCAATCTAGTCTCCAATCAGGGTAGTTTTAGGTGTTTTTCGACTTGACATACCTAAATAAGTGTACTGAAACATTCTTTTATCTTTGTGTCATATACAGTACTTAGCAAGCACATTTCAACAGGGTATAGCCACATTATTAATATGGGTTTTTTCATTGACGTAACCAATCAATCTAATTTCTTTTTTTTTTCTTCAAAATGTTGTTGATTGGAAAATGAGTTAAACAATACATCAATTGTGAAACTAATAGGAATATTAACCAAGAACCATTAAATTTTGAATTTTTTCATTAATCTTGATTGATTTCTTTGTCCTATACCTTATTAAATGCAATAGATAAGCCTAGTTATTTAATTGTCCAGAGTCTCCAAGAGTGCATCCACCTATATTTGCAATCATGATGAAGTAAGTAGGGTAGCCATGTTAGTCTAGATGATAACAGTAAATGAAAAACAAACAGCACTTTTCAGAATAAACAAATTTATTTTTCCCCAAGCTTTCGACCACACAGTGGTCTTCACATGGTCTATCTTCGTCAGGTGAATGTACAAATAGGATAAAAATATGGTCATACAGTAGATACAGTAAGAACAAAGAGGGTAGATGCTCTTTCTTGCAGAGCATCCCCTCTTTGTTCTTACAGTATCTATGACCATACTTTTATCCTATTTGTACATTCACCTGATGAAGACGACTGCGTGGTCGAAACCTTGTGGAAAAAACAGCACTGAAAAGTGCTGTTTGTCTTTCAGTCTTTCATTTACTGTTTATTTGTAATGATTGTTAGTTTATTTTCATCATTTACTATATTCATCAGATCTTATTTTGTTAATATACATTCTATAAATAAAACAACATTTATAATATAAAATTATGGAATTTACACTATGAAAATTTATCTGAAACGGTATAAAATAATATGTAGAAGTATCACCTTACCAACCAGTGTTGACAAAGTGGGGAAGAGGAGATATAAAATTAAGTCAGAGAAGATCTTACAAATTTTTTATAGTTTTATTTTCTGGTTTTGTTAAATTCTTTATAAAAAAATTAAGATCAAGACATTACTAGCCCAATTAACGTTGCTTAAGATGTTTTCTGTTTATATACTTAAAAAACCTTGTTTTATTGTCCATGGTATGAGTGCATCTAGTGCCGCACCGCTCTAGTAAATTTGACTCTGGCGCAATTACTAGTGATTTTTCCCAGAGTTGGGGCAAAATCTCAGCACCTGGATCGAAATTCCTACTGTAGAGTTACCAATGAGATGCACTCTCTTGGGGTGCTAAGATCCCTCTGGTCTGAAAAATAGCAAACTGCTTCCTACAGCGAATTAATAATTAACCGGACTGATTTTGGCTAGCCTAGAGGATAAACTATGTTGACGACTAGGCATAGGCTACTAATACAGTGGCCCACTACAACTGGCAGGTAGTTTTTAAGGCCAAAATCTGTCCAGTAAACCGATTTTGCTCGGACCAAGTTTTTCGTGGACAGGTTAAAGCACAGCCGAAATAAGAGAGGTCAAATAGAGGTCAAGTTACTTAGAAACTTTTGCAGCTGGATCCTGGTAAAAGTTGTCACCATCTGACATACCTGTTTCCTTATCAAGAAATTTGCATATGAATTGTTCCGACTGTTATGTATCATGATGAATACTGCTTTACAGCAAAGAAATTTTCCTAGCTGCTGCAAAACCGCCACAATTGTCCCAATACCCAAAGTGCAGAAATCAACCGACTTGATATATGGCCAATTTCTCTCACACCAATTTTTGCGGGAGTTTTTGAATCTTTTATAAGTGATTGGATAATGGAAGATATTAAATGTAATATAGATAACCAACAATTTGGCAATATGTGCGGATCTTCGACAACCCATTATCTTATTGAAATGTTAGATTTTGTTTATAGAAGTCTAGATAAACCTGGTACTTACGTCAATCTAGTTACAATCGAAGGCATTTAACCTTGTTAATCATAATTAATTACGCCTACATGCGCAGTGGTAAAATCCTACTTAACGATGACAACCAGCCAATAGAAAACTGGTAAATACTCGACAAAACAAAATGGCTGTATAGTTACAGCGAAACACTCTGCATATTTAAGGCTGCTTCGAATTGTGGCAGTATGGGTTTTTCGTAAAAAAATGTTTCCATCCAGTTTTTGAATTCTGTTAGCCTACATTTATTTTTTGACTTCAATGTGGGTAAATATTATAATTTTTATTTTCTGGAATTTAATATAAATTATATTAATGTAAATGTTGTTGCTAAACTAACCAATCGGCCATATTTTTTTTGGTCATGTGCATAACTTAACGCTGATTAACGCATTCTGGTTACGTTAATTTTCATTGACAACAAAGTCTATTTTACAAACCAGTCAAATGAAAATAATAGATTGTTACTTGACGAAAATTTGTACTCAACGAAATGAACCAGTCGAATAAGGGCAATTCCATGCAAAATGGACAAAGCACCTAAATTTTCATATTCATTCTATATTTTACAGTTTTGGTGTCTAATTAAAGCTTAAAACATATGCTTTCAAGATGTAAACTCAGATTTTAAAATTTCAAATCAGAAGTATTGTTAAATATTAATTAAAATATGTCAATAAATTATTTTTTTAGTTTGATAAAATTACACAAAAAACTTAATACAAAAATAGACTAAGATAAAACTTAGATTATGAAAATGATCAGTTTCTTATTTGGCATTTTCTCACAGACAAAGGCCTGTTACTATTTATAGACCAGGCTATAATTGAGATAGGTGCCACCTGGAGAGGTAGAAATTCTCATATGGTTTTTCTAGACCAGTTTTTTATGGGGAATCAGAATATGTGAGGTAAAAGGGCCGTAACCTGAGAACTTTCGCGTGAGGGCGCTTTTTCAAAATGGCCGCTAAAATCCAATAAACTACAGATATATAGGTAAAATAAGCACAAAAGAGGTAGGTTTGACCAACTTTTGAATATGTAATGATAGGAGTAATACCTGAAGATTATTGTGCAACATAGGGCTACACAGTTAAACACTACAGGACAAATATGTAGTAAATTAATTTATGCCTTCTTCATACATGAAAATTATGGTAGTTGCCTGAAATACCTTGTATAGCACACAGAAATAATGAAAACAACCGGATATTTTTAAGGAAGCTGGAATTTTTTTAAGATTCTGGTGATATTTTCCATTCTTCAAAACAGAAAAGGGCTAATATAAGGGGGCATTTTTACTTACATTTTCAAAAGTGAGTTAGCTTACACCCCTAAAATATGTTATTTTGGGTTTAAAAAGTCAACAGCAGTTATAACATTCAGGTTTTGTAAATTAAACAAATTAATCTAGGGTATTGAAGCTGCTGTTAAGTTGTTATTTAATTTTGGCGGCCATTTTAAAAAGCGCCCTCAATTGCCTCCGGGAATCTTCACATTAATAACTTTAGCTAATTATACTTTATTCCTATTATTACATATTCAAAAGTTGGTCAAACCACCCTCTTCTGTGCTTATTTTACCCATATATATGTAGTTTATTGGATTTTGGCGGCCATTTTTGAAAAAGCGCCCTCATGCGAAAGTTCTCAGGTTACACCCCTTTTACCTCACATATTCTGATTCCCCATAAAAAACTGGTCTAGAAAAACCATATGAGAATTTCTACCTCTCCAAGTGGCACCTATCTCAGTTTATAGCCTGGTCTATTAGGTCTGGTTTTGGTGTTGTTTATTTGAAATAAATAGACAATTTTGTGACAACATTTTAATTCACTACTGATCATTTGTGATTAGATAATTTCCTGCCAAAGGTCTTTATCCTTGTTCGCACTGGCTAACCAGCATCTCGGCTAGCTTTATTGCTGAGCGAAGTGTGCCCAGATGCATGAAGATTGACCAGGCTATTTTTACCGAGCTAGATAATTCAGTATGAATAGTACAGTATGACTTTTAGTACAATATCTCTGAGCACATTCTAATACCAAACACATTGCAAAACTATGGAATTTTCCTGTTAGTCTTGGTCAAATTTAATTCTTGATGCGAATATGGCTAAAGGTGTATTTATGTCAATTGAGGATGTGTTAAAACCGGGGTTAAAACATTCAAGGAACATGAATTTCTAAATATTATTTTGGTAGACATTGAAAGTTGTTATAATATCATTAGGAATACTCTTCAACATACTGTATAGCAAACAATTTTTTTCTTGTGATATTGGGGATGGGGGAGGGGTGAGGGCGGGCCATTAAAAAAAGGCTCATTTGGATGGTTGTATTTTAGCAAAATATGTTCTGATAAATTTATAACTGTATTTATGAGAGAAATGATGATGGGCTATGATTCCTCAAATATGAAGATTTAAAAAAGTTCAACTCTTCCTGTTACAGCCTCTTCAACAATGGTCCAGACAAGTTTTCGTCCCATTTTCAGACATTTGCTATTTCTAATCGTTACATGGTACAACTTTTCTGATTGTAGATTTGGAATCAGCATTGAAAATATGTCCTAACATGGTCCTATAACACAACATTTCAGGGTTATAGGGGTTGTACTTTCTGACGATATTAGCATATGAAAATCAATTTTCAATTTTGTGGCGCATTATTTTGGGCCACGCCTGCCGCTTAAGTTTAAACTGCCGCTACAGAAAAACAAACAAGTATTGAATTTGGAAATTTTTAAGTTTTTCATTTCTCATGAATATAAATATGTCAGAGTGCAAAAAGTGGAGAAAAAAAATGATGTCCCATGGTGTAATGCATTTGTTAAATTTTCATGGAATAACCCTAATCATTTTTTAATCAGTTTTAATAAATTTTTAACAAAATTGGGTTGGATCCTCCTCTTAGTTTTAATTAATGATGCTTGTCTAGGAGGCTGCAGACGATGGAAATATGTTGATGACCTAACTATTGGTGAATGTGTCCAACGTGGCAATAATTCCACTTTGCAGACCACTTAATAGTTAATCTCACTAATTACTGTACATGATTCCTAAACTATTAAGTAAATGTCATCATATGAAAATAAGTTTTCTATAAGAAATAGACTGTTATTCAATCGATTGTTGATAATATAATTTGTCATGTTGATAGCCTTTAACTTCTGGGCGTTAATGTCACAAATAACTTAAGTTGGGATAATCATGTGAGTGAAATTTGGAATAGCCTCTCTGTGTTTATTCTCATTCATCCTCTTGAAAAAAAGTGGTGCTTCTGTCAGTGGCATGGTTAAAGTTTATACTGTACTTGTTAACGGCAGATCCCTGAGTACAGCTGCCCGGTGTGGCATTCATCTCTCACAGTGCTGCAGTGCGACGGTTTGGAAAGGGTCCAGAAAAGAGCAGTCAGGATTATTCTAGGTAAAACTCATCTCAAATCAACAATGGTCCTATACTGAAGCTCTTGAAATCACCAACATCATGACACTTAAATCTAGACATGAAATCCTAGTATTCGGTAAATCATTGCTCCAATCACAACGACATCGTCATATGCTTCCCCCATCAAATTGTAACAACAGAAACTTAAGACATAATTCACTCATCACCTTACAACATTGCCGTACCAAAAGGTACCAGATTCTGCAAATCCCATATATTACCTGGCTGCTCAATACCTGATCCACTCCGGTCCGTCGATCGCCTGTCTTGCCCTTCCCTTGAGACCAATACCACATCGGCCTGCGGCGCCTGTAAATACCATATTGTTGGTTTTACAGAATGAGAATTATTATTATTATTACTTTATTTTTTTTTTTATGTAATTTTTTTATGAAATTTGTAAATATTCATTCTTGATTTGTAAATAAGTATTTTAATGTTTTTGTGCAATTTCATAATTTGTAATTTTGGCCTATATATTTTTGTAAATGCAATGATTTTAGCCTTTGGCTATAGACTTTTTGTATTACATTTATACAAGAATAAATAGATTATAGGTGTGATCGAAATGATCGGCTACCTTTCCCTAGGGCCTAGGCCCAACTTCACCATGCCCCAACCATCCAACACAACACTAACCACGGAGAGGCGTCCAGTCAAGGAATGTCGTCCCTTTCGGCCGCGACGCAATGTATAAGGCTGAGGCTATCGGAACTGCCGCAGTGCGAAGAAAAGCTGCTGTTTTCTATCGGCACTGCCGCAGTGCCAAAAAAGCTGCTGTTTTCTATCGGCACTGCCACAATGCGAAAAAAACCAATTATATCTTGTTATTTTCTCTCGGCATTATTGTCGCAGTGCGAAAAAAGCTCCGATTTTCTATCGGCACTGCCGCAGTGCCAAAACATTGCAGTTTTCTATCGGCACTGCCACTCGAAAAGCTGCTGTTTAATTATCAAATGGATGTTTTTATCTATAGATTATGGTCAATAATTGGTTAGGTCTAGCCTATAATATTGTTAACATTATATTATATATGTTTTATAATTAAATTATAATTATTTCTAATTAATAAATATATACATAACCTATATCTAGGCCCATACATAAAACAAAAAATAAAACAACAAAAATTTAAAAATAAAATAGTATTAATAATAGTAATAATAAAAATAATATAATAATAACAGTGCTCGAAATGAATAAAAATTGTTTAATTAATGAAATGAATCAGCATATATTAAATCAACTTGCGTCTATGCAAAACCTGTTTTTTTTTTTTTTTAATAAAGTTATCTATTTTATTCTGCTGTTTTAAAAAATAATCTTAATTTTCTCCACATAATTCATGTTTTCAATGTTTAGTATGGTTGATAAATAATACATAAAATAATAATAATAATAATAATAATAATAATGAAGGTGCTCGAATAATGCTTTAATAAAGAATTAATAATACTTCAATAATACTTCAATAGGCTTATTTGCGATAGTGTGATTAATGAATATTTGTTGATTAATTTATAGAAATATATAATAGGTATAGGCCTATACCATTAATAATGATTCAGCATTTTAAATCAACTTACGTCTATAGATGTAAAATCTGGGTTTTTTTTCAATAAAATGTTACCTATTTTATTCTGTTTAAAAAAATAATCTTATAAAATACCGTACATTATAAAGTTTCATTGTAAATTATATGAGAATTTAATCCACATAATTTATGTTTTCAATTATTTAAGCATTTAAACAATTCAGTGGGCCTAACGCTGGATGTAAATGTAAAACAAAAACAAACTAGATTTGAACTTGTCACTGAGGACGAGTTTGGTGATCTGCAGTACTTGGACCCTCATGAAGCGCGCGCAGTGCTGATTGAAATGTTTCATAATATGCTAAAATATGCTGTAATTAGTTTTTTTTAAAAAGAATAATTGTGAGCATTTTAAAAGATTTCCGCATGCGTACACGCACGTCTTGAAGCACGTGAGCACGGTAATGTCACAAAGAGTGACTCCTGACAGTGTCAGGAACACAAAATATGTAACAACGCGTAATTTCCAGCTTTAGTATGTGCTGTGTGCGTGGAAATTAACGTACGGCGGGTAAATTATGGAAAGTTTTGAAATGCTGAAAATGACCCGAAATGTTCTTTAAACTATTTGAATAGTAATATGGAGAACTTTCAAATTTTAACAGACACGCACGTCACCATTTGTGCGTGTACAGTAATAGCACACAAAATTAAACATTGTCAAGTGTATTTAAAACCGCCTGTTAGTTGGTAATGCCACACGAACTTTCCCTTCATATAACCTATATATTAGTCTGATAGCGTCAAAATACAGTCTGCCGCCCTCACTCTGTTCTACTTTTTTTTACATCTTTTAAGAATGAGAGATAAAAGGGCTCCAAAAATTCATTCTTTTTGACCATGCTGACGTGATCAAAATGAAAAATAAAGGGACATGTCTTAAAGAGAATTGATTTAGCTATAACATACTCACAGGTGGAAGATAATGGCATCATAAATAAAAATTCAGTTTTTTAATTCAAATGGCAATATTATGACGTCACAATGTCCGATCAGCCATTATGAAGTAAAAAATCTTATCTACAACTCATGTGCTTTCAGATTATGTAATAAAAATTAAGGGTCACCTTTCATCCTAAGGAGCTATAACTGATTAAAAATATTCATGGTTTTATGCATATATAAATGTTGACACACGCGTACGTGCACGCTAAAAAGCGCGAACGGAAAATTAAGGTACATAACATTCAACCTTGACCTGAAGCTTATGCTCACCTAATATGATTTAGAAATGACGAATGGATAAGATTATATGGGCTCATCAACGTTTTGAAGAAAGAGAAATGAGGGGGTCAGAAAAAACTTTTTTGACCATGATGACGTCATCAAAATGTAACTAGATTTGAACTCGTCACTGAGGACGAGTTAGGTGATCCGCCGCACTTTGACCCATGAGGAAGTGTGCGCGTGGCGGATTGAACAATAATTAAATGCTGATAATGGCAAAATACGCTAATTCAGTTTGTTAAAAAAGAATTTTGAGCATTTGAAAAGATTTAATCATGTGTATGCGCATGTCATGACGCACGTGCGCATCTTAATGTCACTGTTGTCTTTTGATATGAGATATATATGTATTAACTTTCATTGACAAACGCCTGTTGGTGAAGGAGTAATGATCATTCATAGTATTTATCATAAAAAAATTCA